TTTCCCCGCAACCACTCCCACGACCCGCCATGACCACTCCCCGATAACACTCCCTTCCCCCCCCACCCCCTCTATCTCTGCTACATTGACCTCCCATCTCGATTGCCGGCCAGGGATGTTCGAGAGCAGGCTGAGTAAGCAAGGCAGAAGGAGAAGCAGACACAGTCTGTATAGTAACTCTCAAATACTTAGGGTTGGACCCCACAGCCGCACTGACGATTTTCGTCCTTCCCACCGCCAACGGGAATTTTCCTTCGCTAGCGGAGAGGCAGAGTTGGAGGGGATCCCACCGCGCCCGTTTTTTTTTCCATCCCCGATCGTTTCGGTTTCCCGAACAGGAAAGTGGCAGAGGACTTTCCAATTCGGGCAAGGCGTTATGTGCGTTCGGTGAGGCTGTTGTGGACCTAGGTACAGGACGTCGTTCCGCGCCGCTGTCCTTGGGCGACGTTGTGTGGCGTGTGGCATCGTGGGTGGGGCAGCACCCGACAAAAGGGGTCGACTTCGGTTGGGGAACCGATGCAGCCCTTTTGCGACCGTTTGACACGGCCGTTGCGGGCCGGTTTTTCCAGGGGACATTTCGACCGTTATCGACCTTCTTGTTTGTATCCACGGTGGAACCACGGGATTCCAAGGTCCCACCTGGGAAAGGGCGAAGGCGATGTGGGGCGCAGCGAGCATGCTCTCTCGAAGTCCGTGGCTGTTTCGGGCAACGCACCCGTGTTCGTCACAGTCGATATGCCTGCCATAGCCGATCGTTGTTGAAGGTCGCACCTACGGATCGGGGTATCGCCGCGGTTGCGTGTCTCTGTCGTCTGCGACATAGCCTTGTGTTGCGGGGTGGGCGGGGGGGGGGGGGGTTTGTGGTGGTATTGGGAGACGTTGTGCGCCGTTGTGAAGCCCATGGAGAGCGGTGTGGAAGACGTTGGGGACTGTGCAGGGCGAGGTGTGGTAGGCGACAATGACGTTGACAATGACGACCATTTGTTCATGGTTGTTTTTATTGTTATACAGTTGGTGATGCAGCGGAACAAGGCGGCTCTTGCTGTTCTCAATGCAGCGGCTTCGTCCTGTTCAGCTGCACACCCTGAAATGGGGGAGGTTTTTTTGCTCCTCGCTGGGCGCTTCCTGCACAGCGTTTCCCTTGTGTCCGCCGCCATGGAAAGCGTGAACAACCGACGGAGGAAATGATCCAGGAGTATGTGGGTTTTGGACCGCCATGGGGGGACGTGGAAAGATCTCCAGAAGGTCGGTGAGGCTCATGACAAGGTCTTCATCCGGTTCTGCAGACTCCCTCGACCTCTCTTCTATGAAGTTGCACAGCGAATAGCCCCACACATTCAGCGGAAGTTGACGAACTGGAGGCAACCAATTCCAGCTGCACAGAAGTTCGCGTGCGCGTTGATCAGATGGGCCACAGGAGGCTATTACCAGCAGACGAGCCACGGGATGGGGATGGGGCTGGCGAGTGCGTTGAGGAGTAACGAGGACGTTGCGGACGCCCTCATCAAGGAGTACGGCCACCTCATAAGGTTCCCTGAAGGACGCCGTTTGCAGGAGGTGATGGATGCGTTCGAGAGGAAAGGGTTCCCAGGGTGCGTGGGTGCGATTGATGGGAGACATCTATACATCGAGAAGCCAAAGAACGAGCGGGCAGAATGCTACTACGACCGCACGAGGCAGTTATCGCTTGTGGCGCAAGTGGTGTGCGATCACGAGTGCAGGATCCAGGATGTTTTCGTGGGGTGCCCTGGATCGGTGCATGACTCACGTGCCGTTCGCATATCGCACCCTTACAAGGATGTGCAGGATGGGCGTGGGATATTCCATGGTGGCACATCCTTTCTTCATGACGGCACACCTGTCTGCCGCTATGTTCTCGGGGACGCAGGTTACCCATTGCTGCCTTGGCTGATGACACCGGTTGGAGGGGATGAGCGCACGCCCCAAGAGGTGAATTTCGATGATTGCCACACGTCGGCAAGGAGTTGCATCGAACGCACGTTCACACTTCTGAAGGGTGTGTGGCGAAATTTCTTGAGGCGGCAAATCGGCAACGTGAAGACGATCATGAAGGAGTTCATGGCCGTCTGCATCTTGCACAATATTATGGTCGACATGCGAATCGATGTCGACTTGGATGACCTTGACTCGGACGACGACGACGATCAAGCAAGCTGTGGAAACTTTCGTTGTCGACGACGTCCGCGTGTCCAGCAGGCTGTCCAGCAGCCCCTGAGGAACCGTCGGGACGGCACGTACGGTACCGCCGAGGGTAGGGTGGCGAAGGCGAGGCTCATCGCGCGCGTCAATCACCATGTGCGGGTGCATGGCCGACCACCTGCCAACCCCTGGAGACAAGCGCGAGCTGCGCCGTAAACACAAACAGGAAACGGCGACAGAATGTTCTCTCTCTCTCTCTCTCTCTCTCTCTCTCTCTCTCTCTTGCTGTAGATAGATAGATAGATAGATAGATAGATAGATAGATAGATAGATAGATCAGTCAATTTTTCTATCTATCTATCTATCTATCTATCTATCTATCTATCTATCTATCTATCTATCTATCTATCTGTCTGTCTATCTATCTATCTATCTATTTGTCTGTGCATCTACCTTTCTTCCACCTTCGTATCTGACTATCTGTCCACCCATCTATCTATCCACCGGTCTATCTATTTACCTATCTGTCTGTCTATCCATCTGTCCACGCATGGAACCTCTCCAATACATATGTGCAAGGGCATGGGCGTTTGTCGAAATCAGTCAGGCAATCTGCGTAGCACGGTGGTTGCACATGCAGACAGGGGGTCATGCTGTCATGAACGATATCAATTGGCATTCCAATGAGATTTCCGCGAAATCACTTTTCAACCGTGTGCTAGTTCGTTTGAATTTCATTTCTTTTCTTTTTTTATCTGTCTTTCGCAATGTTTCTCATTTGTGATGTGAATGTCTACAACTTGTCACGAACCGGAATGTCTTTGAAAGTGGTTGGCGTTCGTGATGTGAATGGCATTTGTGATGTGAAATGTTCGTAATGCGAGCAACGAATAGTCGGTGATGCAGCTTCAAAACGTGCTCCTACTTTCATCACATTCAGTCGTTTATCAATGGCAGAAGCAGATATGGACAAGCGAAGATGTATATGCATATACATAATGAATGCAAATGTTGACGAGAAGCGACAAGCCAAAAAAACGATATTATTTCCAAAGTTCGAAAAAATGACGACAACAGACGGCAAGAAAACGATGAAGAACACACACACGCATCCGCACTCAAGCAACCGCACCAATTATAAACCGCCAGACGGAAAAAAAATATATTTCTCACGACGGAATTTTTTTCCTTCTTGCACTCCGTTCTCACTAAAATCCCGAAAAAAAGGCGCTCAAAGCACCAACCAACATCGGCAACATCCTCGTTCCGGTTATTGATTCACACACGAATACTACCACGTATCCAACCGGCGGTGCATCGTCACAACATGCTTGACACGTGGTCGTTTTGACACCCATGCCGGAAAAACAGCAACTACGCGGTCAGGGGACGATTGCTTCTCGCCGCGGCCCGCACACACACACACACACATACACACATACACACACACACACACACACGCACACACGCACACATGCACAAACACACACATTCACATACACACACACACATACACACGACAATCGAGGTTCATGACGTTAGGGACATTACACGTCGCCGGCGGCCCACTGCTATCCTCCTCGACTGCCCTAACAAAAGAAAGAAAAAAAGAAAAATGAAAAAAAACAACAACGGCCGACAGATCACCGAAGCACACGACGGTGACCCAAATGCAGACGTGGCAGCACATCTTGTCGTCACTGTGTGGGGGATCTCCTCCCTTCTGCGCTGCCATGTCATCTTCCAACCTCTGCACCCCCCCCCCCCCCCCCCCCCCCCCCCCCCCCCCCCCCCCCCCCCCCCCCCCCCCCCCCCGCCGCGGAGCAAGCGACGACCGACAAATGACCCGTGGCCCAAGCGACAACCTACATCCAACCCTCCAACTGTTCCATACCCAACATGCAGATGGCCATTTCGCCCTCTAATCGCTCGGCGGGAACAAATCTGCGGAAATCCCATCAGCGGGAACATGACTGCTGACGTGGCAGCATGGAATATGATGATCTTGCGGGGTTGTCCTCCCTTCTGCGCTGTTGTGTCGTCGTGCAACCGATTCACACCAAAGACAAAGATCTGTGAATCGACGTCCACGCAACCGTGTTTCCCGAAAACGCCAAGGTGGTAACGTCCTAACCACCTTCGTGCATGACACGACCGCATCACATCTTTCCTTGCGCTTCATCGCCGAACATGCAACACTCCCCTTCACACTCACCACCGCCGACGCGCAACCTTCAGATCGTCCTCAGGACACCACGACTGCACAGCGCCGTGCAAGTACTGCCTGCCCCGAAGAGAGGCTGCATGTGCGCCACGTAGAAGGCATTCCCGTTAAGTGCATCCATGTGTTCATCAGCTATGGAGGACACCAGGTATCTAACGATGTCACCGACGACATCACGTTCTGGGAGACGCCAGTCGTAGGGGACGACTTCCGACAACTTCTTCACGTTGAGGATGACGTCCACCAGGTTGCCTTCCTTGTCGTACCCGAAACCACCATCGATCTTCATCGCCACAGTCCCTTCCACGAGAACATAGTACACACGACTATGGAGATCAGCCGTGTCAGGGCTGAAATCCATCCGTCCGCGAGGGTGGCAACGACGCTCCAACTTCGATTCCTGGACGACGACGGTTTTCCCGCCCACGATCTCCCGCACC